TACAATTCTTGTACTACTACTACTACCACCTCCACCTCTTCCTGCCTATATATAGCCGTCCTGCTCCACCTCTGTTAGTGTGACTTTGTCAATGGTCCAAGTCGGACCGAAACGTCGTCGTAAGCTTCTTTCTTTTATGTGCGGGTTATTTGTGTTTTATATCGTTTGTGTGTGAAAACAACAATTACAGTGGACCCTTAACCAGCGATGGCATCGATTAACGATAAATCTAACTAGCGATACATTTAAACGCAAAAATTTTGCCTCAACTAGCGCTTAAAAACCCGACCAGCGCTATTCGTTCCGTACCATACACGTCCACTTTGGCCTGAGCGCGCCTAACTTGTCCCTTGGGTGTCAGTGTTTACAAGCCAGCCAGCCACCGCGGTCGCTTCCAAACATACAACAACTGGAACATTTCATATTATCACAGCCTTTGTAGTGATTGCACCTGCAAAATAAGTCACCATGGGCCCCAAGAAAGCTTCTAGTGCCAACCCTACAGCAAAAAGGGTGAGAATTACTATGGAGATGAAGAAAGAGATCATTGCTAAGTATGAAAGTGGAGTGCGTGTCTCTGAGCTGGTCAGGTTGTATAATAAACCCCAATCAACCATTGCTACTATTGTGGGTAAGAAAACGGTAATCAAGGAAGCTGTTCTTGCCAAAGGTGCAGCTGCTGCTGCACCACAGTCAGCTGTTGTTGTTGCTGCACCACCATCAGCTGTATTACTCGAAGATGTGGAGAGAGTGTTGTTGGTGTGGCTTAACGTGAAACAATTACCGAGAAACGATTAACCCCGGAGGGTTAGCCACCCAGGATAACCCAAGAAAGTCAGTGCATCATCGAGGACTGTCTAACTCATTTCCATTGTGGTCCTTAATCTTGTCCCCCAGGATGCGACCCACAACAGTTGACTAACACCCAGGTGAACAGGAAAAAATGCCTGGAACTAGTGCTCATATTGGTGAGGTTAGTGGGGAGGATGTGGAAGAGTTGGTGGAGGAGGACAATGAAGAACAAACCACTGATGAGCTGCTAGATCATCTTCAACAGTAAGAGGCCACACCTGAGGAAACTGCTTCGGAGGAGGGGAGAGGAGAATTGAAGAAGTTGCCTACTTCAAAGATTAAGGAAATGTGTGCAAAGTGGCTTAAAGTGCAAACCTTTTTTGATGAAAATCACCCTCACACAGCTATTGCAAGCTGTGCTGGTGACTGTTACACTGACAATGTTGTGAAACACTTTAGGATAAAGGAACGAGAGGTACAGGCCTCTATGGACAGATATGTTGTGCGACAGAAGTCCAGTGACTCTGAAGCTGGTCCTAGTGGCATTAAAAGAACAAGGGAAGTAACCCCAGAAAAAGACTTGCTGCCTCAAGTGCTAATGGAAGGGGATTCCCCTTCTAAACACTAACAAGATCAACGGTCTCCCCTCCTCCCATCCCATCAATCACCACCAGATCTTCAATAAAGGTAAGTGTCATGTAACTGTGCATGTCTTCTTCAGTTTGTGTGTATTAAAATTAATATTTCATGTGGTAAAAATTTTTTTTTTCAATACTTTGGGGTGTCTTGCACGGATTAATTTGATTTCCATTATTTCTTATGGGGAAAATTAACTTGACTAACGATTATTTTGATTAACGATGAGCTCTCAGGAACGGATTAATATCGCTGGTTGAGGGTCCACTGTATAAACAATATAAGGACAACAGTGTTTGTGGAGTTACTGTGTAGTAAATAAAGAGAAAAAAACTTATAAAATAGTGCTAATATTGGTCTTATTATATGTACAATAATGTTGAGTTAAGTTAGACTTGTACAACAGTTAACTACAATTATATGTACAATAAAAGGCACATAATGTACAAGAAGTACACTTTTAAAAATATGATTTATTATTTTAAACTCATTCATTGATCTTCAGTTTTGTGGGATGACTGAATAAAGAAGTTGGTGATAAAGGAACTTACTAAGTTACAGTAGAAATATAATGAGACGATGTGAGTAATTAGTTTTGTATGGAAGTTGGAGGAACAACAGAGTTAAATGAGACGGTTTTATTTCACAGAATATTGATGGTTCAGTTATGTTTGCCAGATGTTATTTACCAAAACTTCTGAATCATCATCATCTTCTTGGTGTTTTTAGTGCCAGACCTAGTTCCTGGGCCTTTTGTTTATTCATATGTTCTTGCGCTACCTTCCACAGGATGGATATGGGCTGCACAATAAACTAGCAACTTCGGTGGCAAAATCTAAAAACTAATCTTGGAGGCCACCAGAGGATTGACTGGACATAATATCTTGAGCGTTGTTAATAACACTCCTCGTGTGCACGTGCGCCACATTCAGAAAAACATTCTCTACAATTTGATTTTTTTTTTTTGTAAACTGTAACACTGACAGCACCTTTCACAACAGTTAAAGGGTTAAAAATGTTTCAGTGGTGGGCCCCCCACCACAGCTTCAGTGAAGATTCTTCGGTGCTCAGAACTCTATCACTTGAAAATACTTAGTGATCAAGATCCCAAGAGTGAGATGTCTTCGGTGATGGTGTACTTAGTGCATGCACTGGTCTCCATTTCACCCTTACATCTCTGACATGCTACTGTACTGGGAGTTACACTCAATGGCCACTTTATTAGGAATACCCTTCTAGTACGGGTTTCTTTGTAGCATGATGACTTGACAGGCAGCGGTCCATTTGCAAGTGATGATGGATGCACTAAACTGTAGCAGTCATACACCATGACTCCATCACAGCACAAAGAAATGTTTTTTTTTTTTTTTTCAACAAGTCGGCCGTCTCCCACCGAGGCAGGGTGACCCAAAAAAGAAAGAAAATCCCCAAAAAGAAAATACTTTCATCATCATTCAACACTTTCACCACACTCGCACATTATCACTGTTTTTGCAGAGGTGCTCAGAATACAACAGTCTAGAAGCATACACATATAAAGATACACAACATATCCCTCCAAACTGCCAATATCCCAAACCCCTCCTTTAAAGTACAGGCATTGTACTTCCCATTTCCAGGACTCAAGTCCGACTATATGAAAAATGTATCTTCATATTATGGAGACCTCTTAATCTAGTGCATCCACTAGTGCTTGAAAAAAGAACATAAGCCTGCCAAGACATCGTGCTGCAAGGAAACTCCTACTCACACCCTCAATGAAGAAAGATTGCCTGCAGTTTGGCAGAAAATATATGCATTGGAATGCTGACTGAAAAAAAGTCATGTGGTCAGATGAATCCACATTTCAGTGTATTTGAGGTCATCAGAGCAGGGCGAGGCACCCCTCCTCCATCAGCAGGTATAACCCTGCATACACAGTGAGCGTCATAAAGCACCCACAATCCTTAAGAGTTTGGGGTTGCTTTAGTAGTTTACTTGGTCATGGGGGTTTGTACTTCCTTCCCCAAAACTACAATGAATGCCAACCACTACTTCACCATACCTGAGGATCATCTGCTGAATATTTTTGAAATTCACAACTGCACCACCTTCATGTATGACAGCACCCCACCACAATACCAAAAACATAACCCAGCGGCTTTCTGAGAAAAATATTGCGGTTTTGCAGTGGCCAGGGAATAGTCCAGACCTCAATCCTATTGAGACTGCCTGGAATATTATGAAAAGGAATATTATGTGAAATCCTGCCACATTTCATCCATGTTGTGCATGCACAACATGGACATTTGGGTCAACCAGTTATTCATTGAATATAACACGCAATATAAGACAAAATGTTTGTCTGATCTAAATTACATCATGTTCCACTTATTTAAACTGCAAAAAAGAAACCAAATGATTTATATCATGTACAGTTTCTCAAGTAGCCATAGATTCAAGGAATACAAGGGATAAAACAGAGAATCGAGCCTGCTTGCTTTTTTTTTTTTTACACAACAAAAATTAATAATTTTGTTCATTCAAATTATGTGTTACTAAAAAATGAATATGGTGGCAATTTTTTTATTTGTGCATTCAGACACCCATGCTTTCATAGCTAAATTATGAGTTCATATTACAGACGGCACCAGATATCTTCTCAATGGGCTGACCAAGAGCTCTTGGAACCATCAGAATGGGAATGGAACAGGTTGTCATCCCCTCCTTTGAACGACTGGTGTCTTCCTTTTTCTTTCTTACGACATTGGCTATTTTTTCACCAAGAAAGGGTAACCCAAAAAAAGGCATTAACCATCACTATCAATAGCTCTCTGGCCAGAAGTACAGATATCACAAATCAAATGACAACATACCCACCCATCTTTCATAATCAGGCACTATATTTTACATCTCCAGAACTCAGGTCCAGCTAACTGCTTGCCCTGAATTCTTCATGTGTCAGAGGGAAAATATTTAACAGGAATTTCTTTAGAACAATTCAATACCTCACAAGGATTGAAAAAAACATTATGCCTAAGGATCTTAAGGAGAGTGCATATAGGCATCTCCTGGCAGATTTTCAGACAACGCTGAATAATTATATCATTCTTGCATATTTTTTTGGGATGCCTAACAGCCAATCACCAGATAATGATCTACTGTGGATGGTGTTTTCTGTCAGGAAAGAGGACAAATGTCATCTAACACTGATGCTGTCAGCTGATAATCTATCAACTGGTTAACCCCAGAAAGATATACTTCTAACAACAGTCTTTATATACTATACCTGAGTATGCTATACCCAGTGAAAAATATTAAAATATAATCATTCTACTCAAAATTTATTACTGATAGTGAGGAATATCTAAAGTGACAGTCACTGTAATGAGGCTTACCACCATGCTATCCCGACCCACACCAGTGAATACTTCACAAGGATTAAGTATCCCATGACTTGCTTATCAGAGCTAAGTTTTACACCCCACTTACAGACCAGAGGCTGACAACACAGCCTGGTATTGAGTTAAGATAATGATGCTAGTACATAATACAACAAGAGTGAAAAATTAACAAGTATCTCCTACCTCCTGGCTTCTCCCAGGGTCGCTTCCTCTTCTCCGGCTGCTGCTCTCCCTCCTGCAACTGCATCTCATTATCGCACATTGTAACCTGAAAATTATACCGAGTAATAATGGAGGGGAAAACAGAATAGGGATGGAGAAAGAAGGCACAGAAATGAGAGGAAACTGCCAGTCAATGAGTGGTATTATTAGTATTGTAGCAGCCAACTAGAAAAGTCAGTGTGATATTATCAGCACTGGAGCAGCCAACTAGAACAGTTAAGTGTGGTATTATCAGTACTGTAGCAGCCAACTAGAACAATCAATGTGGTATTATCAGTACTGTAGCAGCCAACTAGAACAGTCAGTCAACTAAAACCGTCAGTCAACTAGAACAATCAGTCAACCAGAACAGTCGGTCAATTAGAACAGCCAGTCAACTGGAATAGTCAATCAGAACAGTCAGTCAACTAGAACAGTTAGGCAATTAGAACCAATCAACTAGAACAGTCAGTCAGCTAGAACGATCAGTCAATTAGAACAGCCAGTCAACTGGAATAGTCAATCAGAACAGTCAGTCAACTAGAACAGTTAGTCAATTAGAACCAATCAACTAGAACAGTCAGTCAGCTAGAACGATCAGTCAACTAGAACAGCCAGTCAACTAGAACAAATCAACTAGAACAGTCGGTCAACTAGAACAGTCAGTTAACTAGAACAGTCAGTTAATCAGAATAGCCAGTCAACTAGAACAGTCAGTACTGTTACCATGAACTCAGCTATTTACACTGTTTGAACTATTTCTCATCATGACATTCAACAACCTTCTTGTCTTTTGTTGTTCTTACCTTAATCAAATTTGGGACAGAAAACTGTACGTTACAAGCAAGAAATCATCAATGTAATTACAGCCCCTCCTCACTTAGCGACATGCTCGTTTACCGACAACTCAGACTTACGACGGGCTCTCTGACCAGTATGCATACCATGATAGGGACCAAGGGAGACTACTATGGGAGGAAACTGTTAAGGCCACAAGGCACGATAACGTAGTAAATTCTAGGAGACTAACTTTAGTCATATTGATTGGAATTTCTTGACTGGGAATTTAGAATCAAACGACTTCTTAGAAGTAGTTCAGGATTGTTTTTTGAAGCAGTTTGTGACAAAGCCTACAAGGGGAAATAACCTGCTTGACTTGGTTTTGGCAAACAAGGAAACCCTTGTTAATAATTTAGAAATGACAGAGGAACTTGGCACAAGCAATCACAAATCAATTACCTTTAGCATTGAATGGAAGTATGATAGTAGGGATAATTCAGTACTGGTCCCAGATTTTCGCTTAGCAGATTACAATGGGCTTAGAGAACACTTATCATCTGTGGACTGGGGCAACGAAGAGAGTTATCAGTATGACAGTTTTCTTAACACAATACATGCTGCACAAAGGACATTTATCCCATATAAGGAAATTAGATCGAATAGAAATGACCCCAAATGGATGAATAATAGGCTCAGATATCTTTTAGGACAGAAAAAAGGAATTTATAGGCGTATTAAAAGAGGTGAGGGTCATCTTATGAATCGGTATATTGACATTAAGAGGGACGTTAAAAAGGGGATAAGAAAAGCTAAACGGGACTATGAAATTAAAGTTGCTAGGGATTCGAAAACTAAACCCAAAAGATTTTTCCAGGTTTATAGAACAAAAGTTAGAGATAAGATAGGTCCCTTTAAAAATAACTCTGGGCATCTCACTGACAAGGAGAATGAAATGTGCTCTATTCTTAATAATTATTTTCTCTCGGTTTTCACTCGGGAAGACACTAACAATATTCCAGTAATTAATTTTTATAGTGGGCCTGATGATGATAAATTATGCAATATCACAGTCACTACCGAATTGGTTATCAAACAGACAGACCGGCTAAAGCAAAATAAATCCCCGGGCCCTGATGAACTTTTTTCAAGGGTTCTTAAAGAGTGTAAAATGGAACTTTGTGAACCATTGACTAATATTTTTAATATTTCTCTTCAAACAGGTGTAGTGTCAATATGTGGAAGATGGCTAATGTACAGTGGACCCCCGCTTAACGATCACCTCCCAATGCGACCAATTATGTAAGTGTATTTATGTAAGTGCGTTTGTACGTGTATGTTTGGGGGTCTGAAATGGACTAATTTACTTCACAATATTCCTTATGGGAACAAATTCGGTCAGTACTGGCACCTGAACATACTTCTGGAATGAAAAAATATCGTTAACCGGGGGTCCACTGTAAATCCTATTTTTAAAGCAGGGAATAAGTCATTACCGTCAAATTACCGCCAAATAAGCCTAACCTCAATTGTAGGCAAATTACTAGAGTCAATTATAGCTGATAATATAAGAAGCCATCTCGATAAGCACAGCTTGATTAATGATACTCAGCATGGATTCACGAGGGGCCGTTCCTGCCTAACTACAGTAATTTATTAACCTTCTTCAGTAAAGCTTTTGAGGCAGTTGATCATGGTAAAGAATTCGGTATTGTTTATTTAGATTTTAGTAAGGCTTTTGATAGAGTACCGCACCAGAGACTGCTAAAAAAAAGTGGCAGCTCATGGCATTGGGGGAAAAGTGCTCTCATGGATCGAGTCATGGCTCACTAATAGGAAGCAGAGAGTATGTTTAAATGGGGTTAAATCCGAGTGGGGATCTGTAACAAATGGCGTACCACAGGGATCAGTCTTAGGCCCATTGTTGTTTATAATATATATTAATGACCTTGATGAGGGTATTACTAGTGATATGAGCAAATTTGCCAATGACACAAAGATAGGTAGGATGATTGATTCAAACGTGGATGTTAGGGAACTTCAAGAGGATTTAGACAAACTATTCTTGGTCAGAAAAGTGGCAGATGCAGTTCAATGTAGATAAATGCAAAGTTCTGAAGCTCGGGAGTGTCCATAACCCTAGCACTTATAAGTTAAATAATGTAGAACTTAGCCAAACAGATTGCAAAAAGGACTTGGGGGTTATGGTGAGCAGCAACCTTAAACCAAGACAGCAATGCCTAAGCGTACATAATAAGGCAAATAGATTATTAGGATTTATATCAAGAAGTGTAAGCAACAGAAGTCCAGAGGTTATACTGCATCATTAGTAAGGCCTCACCTAGATTATGCAGCTAAGTTCTGGTCTCCATATTACAGAATGGACATAAATTCGTTAGAAAACATTCACCGTAGAATGACTAAATTAAAACATAGCATTAGAAATCTTCCTTATGAAGAAAGATTGAAGACTCTTAAATTACATTCACTTGTTAGATGAAGAATGAGGGGAGACATGATAGAAGTGTATAAGTGGAAGATGGGTATTAATAAAGGGGATATTAATAAGGTCTTGAGGATATCTCTCCAAGAGAGAACCCGCAGTAATGGATTTAAACTAGACAAGTTTAGGTTCAGAAAGGACATAGTAAAGTACGTATTGGTTTGGAAATAGGGTAGCTGATGAGTGGAACAGTCTACCTAGTTGGGTTATTGAGGCTAGGACTTTGGGTAGTTTCAAATTTAGGTTGGATAAATATATGAGTGAGAGGGGTTGGATTTGAGTGGGACTTGCAAATGAGTGGATAGAGTTTTTTTTTTTTTTTTAACAAGTCGGCCGTCTCCCACCGAGGCAGGGTGATCCAAAAAAGAAAATCCCCAAAAAGAAAATACTTTCATCATCATTCAACACTTTCACCACACTCGCACATTATCACTGTTTTTGCAGAGGTGCTCAGAATACAACAGTCTAGAAGCATACACATATAAAGATACACAACATATCCCTCCAAACTGCCAATATCCCAAACCCCTCCTTTAAAGTGCAGGCATTGTACTTCCCATTTCCAGGACTCAAGTCCGACTATATGAAAATAACCGGTTTCCCTGAATCCCTTCACTAAATATTACCCTGCTCACACTCCAACAGATCGTCAGGTCCCAAGTACCATTCGTCTCCATTCACTCCTATCTAACACGCTCACGCACGCTTGCTGAAAGTCCAAGCCCCTTGCCCACAAAACCTCCTTTACCCCCTCTCTCCAACCCTTTCGAGGACGACCCCTACACCGCCTTCCTTCCTCTATAGATTTATATGCTTTCCATGTCATTCTACTTTGATCCATTCTCTCTAAATGACCAAACCACCTCAACAACCCCTCTTCTGCCCTCTGACTAATACTTTTATTAACTAAACACCTTTTCCTAATTTCCACACTCCGAATTTTTGCAAAAATATTTACACCACACATTGCCCTTAAACGGGGACATCTCCACTGCCCCCAACCGTCTCCTCGCTGCTGCATTTACCCCCCAAGCTTCACACCCATATAAGTGTGTTGGTACTACTATACTTTCATACATTCCCTTCTTTGCCTCCATAGATAACGTTTTTTTGATTTCCACATATACCTCAACGCACCACTCACCTTTTTTTCCCTCATCAATTCTATGATTAACCTCATCCTTCATAAATCCATCCCCCGACACGTTAACTCCCAAGTATCTGAAAAACATTCACTTCTTCCATACTCCTCCTCCCAAATTTGATATCCAATTTTTCTTTATCTAAATCATTTGACACCCTCATCCCCTTTACTCTTTTCTATGTTCACTTTCAACTTTCTACCTTTACACACATTCCCAAATATCCACTAATTTTTCTTTAGAATCTCCATAAGCACAGTATCATCGAAAAAAAGTAACTGTGTCAATTCCCATTTGAATTTGATTCCCCAAAATTTAATCCCCTCCTCTCCCGAACACCCTAGCATTTACTTCCTTTACAACCCCATCTATAAATATATTAAACAACCATGGTGACATTACACATCCCTGTCTAAGACCTATTTTTACCGGGAAGTAGTCTCCCTCCTTCTACAAAACCCAAAACCTGAGCCTCACTATCCTCATAAAAACTCTTTACAGCATTTAAAAAACTTACCACCTATTCCATATACTTGCAAATCTCCCACATTGTCCTCTATCCACTCTATCTTTATGCCTTTTCTAAATCCATAAATGCAAAAAAAAACTTCCCTACCTTTATCTAAATACTGTTCACATATAGTT